AACTCACACTCTCATTATTTATCATTTTCAGGCTTATAGCTTGATAGCAGGTCACTTTTGTTGGACCTTCAGAACCTGCTCTTTTGGTTGTAATTCTTGCATTTTCCTTTATGTCTAATTAGTGCTTCAAAACTATGAAATTATATTAACTCTTGTATTAAGACAATTCAATTATATTATGAAGTTGATTTTGTTATTAATGCTGCGTTGAACTCTGATTGAGTTAGGATAAATTTGTATGTAAGTTTGGGTTCGCATAAGTATGGAACCTTGCCTATGTGCCGGTCATGGATCCAGGATTCATGTCGTGACAATTGTGTATATCTGTTATTTCTGCGGTGTTTTATATGTTTATTGGACTTATAAGATGTTTAGTAAACGTTAGATTAGTCGAGGTATATATAAATTAACTCAAAAACTCATATAAATTAAAAAAAAGAAATATTAAGTGTAAGTATTTTTAGTGTAACAGTTTATCATAAATGTCACATGGTTTTCTCTAATTCTAAATCATTAAAATTTTATTGATTATTAATAATTTATTTATTTATTTATATAATTCTTGATTTATTTAATTAAATATTTGTATAGCTTTTTTTATTTACGCTTAAAATTTTCCACGTAAGAATATACATTGAAAAACTGTATAACCAATTTTTTGTTGGAAGAAAAAATACCCAGGTAAGAGTTGCTGCGGAACGCGAGTGAAATGATTAATCAATTTTTTGTGGACTCTAATTTATTTCAATGGCAATATAATTGTAAGGCATTTTGAAGGTTCTGAGATTCAAAATTCTATAATCCATACCCATCACTACTTTAAGACTCTTAATTAAACACAGGAAACGTTTTTATAATTAAAGGGGTTAAAATAAATATGTGTTTGAAAATATAATTATAATTACTTTTTAAAATAATTTTTTACTTAAAAAAAGTATGCTAGTAATATTTTACAATCACTTCTCTTCATGGGACTTCACCAAATTAAGGTCTCATCTCTTTGTTAAATTCTTTACATTTATGTCGCTATTTAATAACTATACCTGCCCGTACTGGCACTGATGTTTATTACTCTTAATCTCTCTTTTATATTTCTATCAAATATTATTATTATTATTTTTTATATTGTCTACTTTTTAACATATAAGAGTTCAACAACTTTAGGATAAAATGAACTATTTCATGATTTAGAGTAATCATATAGGGATCTACTAAACTATAGATTTCATATGAAACAACAAAAAAAGTAAATCAAATAAAGAACAATTTGTAAAAGAAAATAAAATATAGAAGTTAAAATAATTTTTTAAGAAATTACGAGAACTAAAAGGAAACCTTATCAAGTCTTCCCTCACATTCCTAAACGTTAGCAATAATGAATATTTTCATGACATCCCTTATCAATAACATTATTTATTATTATTATTATTATTATTATTGTTATTGTTATTGTTATTATTATTATGACATGACTGCTACTGCTAGCAATAATAAAATACAACAATCCACTCTCTCCAATGGACTTGCTGCGTGCTCCCCTCTTAGCAATCCATTTATTTTCTTGTGATATTGACAGTGTTATGATTAAAGTCACGTGTTCTCGGGATGTCAGCTCTCAATTTTATATCTCTTTTGCTAACGTTATTGAAATTAAATTTTCAAAAAAAATATTTTATTTTTTAAAATTATTTATTTTTTATATTTTTAAATATTTTTTATAAAATAATATTAAAAAATTAAAAAATTATTTTAATATATATATATATATATATATTTTTTTT